GAAATACCAGTACATATTTCTTATATATAAACTTATTCATGTACTCATATGTTCATATATTAATGTGTAGTAATATATTCATAAATAAACTTACTCATAAATTTGAAAAATGATTTGGCTTCAAATATGCAAACAATAATTGGCAAGCTCGTTATCACTATTCTTATTTATAGGAAGTTCTGAAGGATGTTAAGCAACTAAAAAAACCATAAGCCACAATTTCACAAAATAAGCTATATGTTTATACAAACACAAAATGAGGTTTGTACACTGCAAATACATTGTTTAGTCACAGGAGGCTTGAAAGCACAAAACCTGAAGTTTAAGGTTAGAAGTTTCCCAAGTGCTTTCTTGTACCGTTGGCAACAGAGAACAACTACCTCATCATAAGGGTGTTTGGTTTTGTTCAAGGACATACCCCAAGTATCTAGAACCATGTGATAAGTAGGTGCTCAGTAAGTATTTGTTGGTGTTGAATGAACTGGATGTGAGCACTCAGAGAAAGTCAAAGGAGGTTTTCCTCATCTATCATTGCAAGATACGTAGGCAGCCCCTTTGAAGAAATATCTTTGAAATATCAAGCTGCCCCTACAACCACAAAATAAATGCAATATAAAAAAAAACTGAATAGATAAAACCTAATACAATGGAACAAAGTTTCTAATATCAAAGGGGTGCACATTCTAATTTCAACTCCTCTGCCTGCTGTCTTATTTGCTCTGTTTTCTTATTCTATTGATAGCATAAAGTCAGACCTCAAACGCTGAGAAATTTGGCATCTGTGTCCCAGGGCATATTAATTTCTTAACTGTAATAGTTGTTGTTGTTGTTGTTTTAACTTGGCGGGTTACCCACCACAGAAAGCCTCTGAGGCAGGAGGAGGGCAGATGATTTAATGATATATTGTAGACCTGATTTAATGGTAATCAGCTTGTAGACCTGACTGTGGATTCAGGGAGAGAAGTTTGGAGAGGGTAGACACTTTGTTAGGTAACTGCTGCACATCGGTCAGAGAATGATGTTAAGGAGGCAGAAAACAGTGAAAGATAGAATGGGGGTGGAGAATAAAGAGGCTGGGCAGGTTTCAAATCTCATTCCACACGGGATGTAGGATTTTTAGCTTTTACTTTCACACACATATACACATACACTCACATGGAATTATATTTATTACAAACGTTACACAGAATAACTTGTAGAGATAATACTAAGAATGCCTTTACCACCTAACAGTTTATATTTACATGACAATATGACTTTTGGGTCCTTAAACCTGTATCGTGAATCATTCATACATAAATGAATTTACACATTCAAGTATAGCCTGGATTTTTAACTTTGTATGTATTATTTTTATAATCAGTCTTTAGAAACTTTTGTACATTTGTTATAGTTGAACCTAGCAGCCTAGATACTAACACATTCTGTTGATTCACTGTTAAATATTTATCCATCTATTTATCTCTCCTTATACTTAGGTAGTCTTCTATCGGTTTTTTTTGAAAACATACTCCTCTCTATGATTTATGCTATAAAATCTGTCTTTATTTACCTCAATGCAATATTTTGTTTTCCTTAGAACCTTTATTAAGCAAATACTTCATCATTTAATTTTATCTGATATGCTATATATTTATATATAAATTTAGATCTTTCTGGAATATCAACTCTGTCCTAATCATTTCCTTTCTGTTATTAATTATTATGTACTTTTCCCTAAAACTTTATTTTCTGTATTATTTGTGCTCTGAAAATCATGTAACCTTATTTTTCAAGTCATTTGAATGGAAGTTTTGTCATATTTTTAGCCATGTCAGTTTTTTTTGTCTTTGATTCAATAATTTGCAAATTTTGAAATAGATATCTAAGAAGATTCCTAAATCCTGGGAAATCCTTGGTGTGCTCATCAATTTTTTTTTTAAACTCGTGACTTAAAAATTATTTTACGGAGATGAAATTCACATAATATGCAATGAATTATTTTAAAGTGTACAATTCAGTGGCATTTATGCATTCACAGTGTTCTGCAACCATCATCTCTCTCTAGTTTCAAAACTTTTTTATCACCCTAAAACACCCTGTTCTTACTACAAAATCACTTCCCATTTTCCCCTGCATCCATCTACTGGCAACCACTAAACTGCTGTCTGTCTCTATGGATTTGCCTATTCTGGATAATTCATATGAAAGGAATCATACAATATGTGACCCTTTTCATCTGCCTTCTTTTACTTAGAATGACGTTTTCGAGATTCATACATGTTGTAGCATGTTATCAGTATTTAATCCTTTCTATAGATGAATAATATTCTACTGTAAGTATATACTACATTTTGGTTATCCATTCATCCACAGAAGGATATTTGGGTTGTTTCCATCTTTTGACTATTAGAAATGATGCTGCCATAAATACCTGTGTACAAGTTTCCATGTAAACATATGTTTTCATTAATCTTAGGTAATACCTAGAGATGGAATTGTTGGATGATATGGTAATTCTATGTTTAACCTTTTGAGGAACTGCTGAACTGGTGTCCACAGAAGCTGTACCATTTTATATTCCCCCAGCAATATGAATGTTTCTATTTCTCCACATTCTCACCAATATTTATGTCCTTCTGTTTTGTTAATTATTATGGCCATCCTAGTATGCATAAAATGTACTTTATTGTGGTTTTGATTTGTGTTTCCTTAATGTACAATGATATACATCATTTCTTGTGCTTGTTTGCTATTTGTATATTTTCTTTAGAAAAAAGTCCATTCAAGTTCTTTGCCCATTTTTTAAAATCAAGTTTTTGGTCTTTCTGTCTTTGAGTTGTAAGAGTTCTTTATTTATTCAGGATATTAAACGCTTATCAGATATATAATTTGCAAATATATTCTCCCATGCGTAAGTTGTCTTTTGACATTATTGATAATGTTATTTGAGATACAAAAGTTTTCATTTTAGTGAAATCCAATTTATCTATTTTTTCCTTGTTACTCATGCTTTTGATGTCAAACCTAAGAATACATGGCTAGATCCAAAATCATAAAGATTTATCCTATATTTTCTTCTAATAGTTTTATACTTCTAGATTTTACATTAATGCTTTGTATCCATTTGAGTTAATTGTGGTATCTGGAGTGAGGTAGGGGTCCAGCTTCATTCCTTTGCACATGGTGGTCATAGAGCTGTCCCAGCACCATTTGGTGAAGAGACTACTATTTCCCCACAGAATGGTCTTGGCACCCTTGTTGAAAATCCATTGGCCATAGTTGTTTGTTTGTTTGTGGACTCTCAATTTTATTCCATTGTTCTATATGTCCATTCTTATGCCACTACCACACTGTTTTGAATAATGTAGCTTTGTACTAGGTTTTGAAGCTGGGAAGTATGAGTCCAGCAAATTTTTTTTTTCTTTTTCAATATTGTTTTGGCTATTTGGAGCCCGTTGCAATTTCATATGAATTTGAGGATTGGAATTTCTGCAAAAAAAATAAAAAGCCACTGGATTTTTTACAGGTATTGAATTCAATCTATAGATTGCTTCGGGGATAATTCTATCTTAACAATATTGTCTTCCTCTCAAAAAGCATGAGATGTCTTTCCATTTAATTAGGTCTTCTTTAATTTCTTTCAACAAAGTTTTATAGATTTTAGTGGACAAGTCTTTCACCTATGTGGTCAAATTTGTTTCTAGGTATTTTATTATCTTGGATACCATTATAAATGAAATTATTTTTTAAATTTCTTTTCGAATCATTCTTTGCTAGTATTGAGAATAAAATTGAGTTTTCTCCATTGATAATAAGAATAACCAACAGTTATATAGCACATATTAAATGCCAGGCATTGTTCTAAGAGCTTACACATGTCTATGGTCTCAAAACACTATAGTCTATAAGATAAAGGTACACTATCTTAGCATGGCCTACAAGGACTTCCCATTAGGCCTCAAGCTATACTTCTATCTGTATGTATATCAACTGACACTGAAACAGCTCACTGTCACTGAATACACTATGTTCTTTCATCCTTCAATATCACTGCACACTTTATCCTTTTTTGGCTAGGATTCTTGTCTCATATCATCTGTCTGGGAAACTCCTACGTATCCTTCAAGAATTAGCTCGAATGTTGACTCAGCTACTTAATCAGTCCTTTTAGGGAGGATCCATGCTCCTGTCTTTTTTAATGGTTTATATGTGCCTCTTTTATAATGATTTCATCTTGTGTTGCCATTATCTTTCCTGCTTATTCTGATGCCCTCCACTGTACAGAGATAGTTGAATGCAAGGACTGTATTTTATATGCTTTTGCACCTTTAGGGCCTGATGCCATATCCAACTTAGTAGATTCTCAATAACGCTTTCCTAGATGAATGAGTGGACCAAATACACAAAGGTGATCTACTTTGTCACAAAATGTACTCATCCTAGTTCATATATCCAAAAAGCAGTAACCAAATTCCCCTGCATGGTTTAAATCAAGAAAATTAACTTTGTTATTAAACACACTACTGGTAGCGAATGAGGGAGTCTTTTTCTCCCTCTCTTTCCCTTCCTCCCTTATTCTCTCTCACTTAAAGTACTAAGGTCATATTTGTTCATCTAAAAACCAAACAAAAAAATGAAATGAAATGAAATGAAATAAAATAAAATAAAATAAACATAGCTTAGAAATATGGTACTGTTATACTTTACATTAAAACCTCTAAGAATATTCTCCTTATATTAACATGGAAAGAAACGTTGATAAGCAAAATGATTTAACAGAAAGAAGACAATGTAATTCAGAAGATTTGAGAACTTCTTATATTCCTTTTTAAGAGTGTGACACTGACTCTATATTGTACCTCTCTGAGCCTCAGTTTCCTCATCTATAAGGCAAAACGAATACTCCCTGCTCTGCATACCACAAACTACTGGGGTGAAGATCAAGAGAGATAATGCTTTTGAAAGAAAGTCATGAAACAAAATGTGCTGTACAGCAAAGTATGTAGTTATTCACTCACCAAACACAGTTCTTGCAGGCACAGATTCTCTATTAAGCCAGAATGACACTTGGGAGAGAATGACAGTCATGATGCAAGGCAGATATGTCTGAATCACAAAATACCCAATTTTTCTTTTCAAGTGGAAATGAGCTGTCATTACGGTATATTCACCTAGAAGAAAAATTTAAGAAGCTTAAGAAACTGTAATAGTCAATAGTTTGAACATTTTGGAAATGGAAGGGATTAGGCAAAGAACAGTCCCTGATTTAAAAAAGGAAAGAATTTGCCCCATATATGACATGGAAAGTATATAACATTAAAATGCCCACTTAGCATAGCAAGAGTATTTAAAAGAAAATTTTCATATGACCAAAAAATTTGAATGGCATGTGTATCGTGTGGAATTTGTTTTTCTCTCTAGGTCATGCTTACTGACCAAGGGATAGAGGATTCATAAATGCCCTGACCATGGATTATCTTACTTGCTCAGGTTCTCATCCCCTTTGGTCCCAACCTCAAGCCTCTGTTTTGACTGTTTCCAGTCCAGTCCTCTCCGGCTCTTTAAAGTATTGATCTCTGGCCACATCTCCAAGACTGATCTCCTGGCCCAGATTTTCTACTTTTAATCTTGTCACCAATTCTGAATTTATGTGTTAATGTCTGCTCTAATATAGTGGAGTCAGTTCTATCTGATACTCATAGCTACCTTCCTTTCTGCTCTCTGGGTTTTTATCTGCCAGATGTGAGATCATTCGTTCATACAGCTGCTTTTTCTTCAAAAGGGCTTTAGCTTTCCCACACAGACCAATAGTAATTATCCATAATCAAGAGTTGAATAGTCATAGCTTATCCAGAATAGGAGGAAAAGAATTACAAAGTGAGGGGAATTGTAACACTGTGTGAAGGTAAAATTGGCTTGTCTCAAAAGACACACATGTTTTGAATTGGGAGCATAAGTTAGACTAGTTTTTTAAACTTTAATGCACACCTTGGTATCTCCTTGAAATCTTGTTAAAATGCAGATTCTGACTTAGTAAGGAGTCAGGCCTGAGATTCTGAATTTCTAAAAAGCTCCCAAGCACAGTCTGCTGCTCCTTCTTAGGGCACAAAAGGTTTTAAGCAAACTGACACATTTCCAATGACGTTCACCCATTAATCTTCTCAGGAACTAGCTTTTCTTTAGACTCATTTTACTAACCTGTACTGGATTTAATTGTCTCCTTCCCAATTGATTGGCCCAGCAGATCATACTGATTTAACCTAGAGCCATCAGGAGCAACTTGTACAGAATCAGATGCATTGTATGTCCAAATGTAAGTGACCTCCGAGGTTGTATACGCATCTGTAGGAAATCAGGAAAAAAATCTTTTTAAGCATTTTAGTAAGAACTATCAATAACATCCAGCATCAAAGGTCGCATATTTCATAGAATTATTGTTTACTATAAAAATTGATATTTTTTAGGGCAAAAAAGTGCCTTTGAAATTTACAACTTCAGTATGAAGGGTGTGAAGCAGACCAAGAGAGACAAACATGACCACAAGAGTATTTTCACTGTAACCACTTTGAGAGATGAAGAGCAAATTTCTCTTTAGAGCCTGCAAAAATCACTGGGCCCTGAGATGGTTAAAACATCCTCCATATTCGCAAGGTACTAGATGACGGCATTACAGTAAACAGGTTATGAATGCCCAAGGCCCATTTAACCAGTTAATTTAGAAATAATAATCACTCATGAAAAACTTATGTCCATGTGAGAATAATGACATGTGTTTATTTTAGGTATTATTTTTGTAGTTAGTTTTGTAGGTTTTTCTTCAAAACGTTCACCTAGTTAAGAATTAAGTGACTTGGGCTTCCCTGGTGGCGCAGTGGTTGAGAGTCCGCCTGCCGATGAAGGGGACACGGG